TATTTCATAAAAATTCTTGAAAGAATCTTTTGCTATCAGATTATTAATCAGTTAATCAAAAAAAATATCCTACAGGTTAATTGATTAGCAAAATAATCATTAGTTTCAGCTCTACCTGAATGCTGATGCAATAACCTCTTTATTTCACATGTTGAAACATTTATTTTAATATAGGACCAGACTTATAGATCCGATGTTAACGCTCTGTAAGGACGTTTTCAGATCATCTAAAGCTCCCGGCATTTAAGATATTTAAAGTTTGGAAAGTAAATGAGGTTCAGTTAAGATTTGTGTGGAAAACATTCAATCATTATATAACTGATAATGTTTAGAGTTAAGATGCTAGCTAGTTCCTCAGCAGGAGTTCATAAAGTGAAAGCTTAGCTGGGAATGCTGAGGTTAGAATGAAACTATCTGGTTATTAATCCATTAATCGAAAAATAATCAACAGATAATTGATTTGCAAAATAATAGTTGCAGCCCTAGATCTATTTCTGTATCTATTTTGTCTATTTCTATATTTTACTTCTTGGTGTTGGTTTATTACTTGAAAAGCAGCTTCTAGTTTGTGATGGAAATGAAACAGAAAGTTTAGTGGCAGTAAAAGTATGAAGGTAGATTTGTTTCTTTATTATTCAATCAAAAAAAAAGGTTGCTTCAATCAAAAAATATATTTTCAATAAAAAAAACAACAACTTTTCAATCAAAGAAAAAAAGGATTTCAATGCAAAATACATTTGAGTAAAAAAAAAAATCTACATTTGAACACTGCTTTTCTCTGATTGAAAATGTTTTATTTGATGGAAGTCCAGTTTTTTTGTTTAAAGCAACTTTTTTAATTGAAGTAACGTTGTTTTTTGATTGGACCATATAATGGGTAGGACATTTGTGTCTTTATTATTCAATCAAAAAAGAAGTTGCTTCAAACATACAAACAGAAGCAATAAAAAAGTAACTTTAATAAAAAGATGAACGTTTTCAATCACAGAAAATAGTTTTTGAATGCAAATAAAATATTTGAGACTCAAAAAATTACATTTAAAAACTCTTTTTATTGTTGAAAATGTTCTCTATGGTTGAAGGGATTTATTTTGTGTTTGGGCCATACATGGGTACGACATTTGTGTCTTAATTATTCAATTCCCAAAAAGTTCTTTCAATCAAAAAAAAAAAAAAGAAAAGTAAAAAAAGTGTTCAAATGCCCCCCAAAAATTTTTTTTTTACCCCAATTTTTTGAGTCTCAAATATTTTATTTGCTTTCAAAAACTATTTTCTGATTGAAAACGTTTCTTTTCATTGAAGTTACTTGTTTTATTGACTCTGTTGTTTGTTTGTTTGAAGCAACTTCTTAAGATGAAAAGATCCGCCGCCTTTAGACTGATCACTAAACTTTTCTGATTGTGTCCCGTGGTCGTCGTCTTCCGTCTGTCTGCAGCATTGCTGGCAGCCTGGTGTATTCGTACATCACCCTCAAAGAGGAGCAGTCCAGCAAGCAGAGCGACACCGCCAAGCTGGAGATCAAGGGGAAGGTTGTTGTGTGACAGACACTGGATCTGGTCCTTCTAATGACACAAACTGGAAGGAAAAACTATTTTTAAAGAACTACTTTAATTTATGGGGTGTTGTAGCGGCAGGGATTAATTCTCTGTAAAGTTTGAGTTTTAATGGAAAAGGAGCCTTTGGTTCCTTATGCTACTCACTACCTGGGTACTAAATCCTCCAGATTAAATGTTTTAATAATGCTGCACATTAAGAACAAGGGAAAATATAAAAACATTTTCTATTCAGTGTTTTAGATGAAAATCTTATTTCAGGGTTTGAAGTTTTTAGAGTTCAAACTGCTGCGTGACGGGGACAGAAGAAGTCATGGTTATTTCCAAGGCATGTACGCTTTTATTGCCTTCTGAGAACGACGACCTCAGAGTCTTTGCCTTCGCTTTTTGTTTTGGGAGATTCTGATGTAAACCTGCTGCTGAGGTTTCAGGGAGAAATGAGGATCTTCCTCACCGTTACTGTATTTTCAGAGACTCTTGATCAATGCACCCAGTTCTATTAGTGAGGAACAGGAAACTAAACCTTTTGGTTTTTGTTTGCATTGTTTTGTTTTTACACAGCTGTCTCGCACTTTTAACTGGTAGGTCTCACAAAGCAGTAAAGAAAAGGCTGAGAATATTGATCTATCATGGGATTCACATTCCTGTTATTATTAAAAGGGTCTTTTTATGTTTATTCCTTTTTTTGTTACTACCTTCTCTGGAAGTGGACTGATTATGAAAAGTATTTGTAGATGGAAAAATGTATTTTTACATTAAAAAGAACCTAGTTTTTTTTTTATAAAGTGTTTTATATGAAGCCAAATGTTAATAAATCCTGTTTGTTTTGAGATTTTGTTTGCTGTTAGTTTGTCCTAAAGCATAAATGATTTATTCTACTGTTGAGATGTTTACTAAATGTAACGCTACATGTAAGAGAGCATTAATGTAGTCCAGCCACCTAAGCAGCAGCGTAGCGTGAGCAGGTTAGCATTTTCTGCTGCTGTGGTTCATAAAGCCACAGGAAAAGTTTTCTCATTAAATTCTTTGACATAAAGAGTTCCAACGGAAGAGGATTGGGGACCACTGGAAAAGAAAAAAGTTAACTGATTTTTAAATTTTATTTTAGTTTAGTATGGGAAACTTAATTCTGAGAAAAAGTCAGAATTCTGACTTTTTCTCATACTAAACTGAAATAAAATAAAAAAATCAGTTAACTTTTTTTCCCCCAGTGGCCCCTAATCCTCTTCTGTACATATCTGTTCTAAAGCTCTTTCACTTTTAGTGAGGTTTAATGAGGCATCTTGAATAACCACAGAATACTGACACCTGCTGGACATTTAAAGACACTACAAGCAGCTTATTTTACACACTCAATTGATTTGATGATCTAGTGCAGAGGTCTTCAAGGTTTTCTAGGCCAAGGACCCCCGAACTGATGGCGAGATGGAGCAGGGACCCCCTAATTATATATATCGTATGAAATTATGTTATATTAGGATTATTGGAGTATTTCTGATTCTGATTCCTGGTTGATGGGACAGGTGTTGAGAATGAAACGGTGTCCAGCTTGAAAGAGCTCCTGTGTGTCGCTGAATGTGTGCATTGATGACTGAAAGACATCTTCTGCCTCCATTTATCTGTTTACTACAGTGTGTTTTAAAGACATTGCAATTAGTGGAAACAATTGCAGGGGGGAATATAAAAGAAAATCCTAATAAACTAAATCTTTTGCAACCCCCATGCAGTACCTCTGTGGACCCCCTGTTGAAGACCTCTGATCTGGTGCAATAATATTTAAGTTATTGTATTGTTTTATTTAATATCTATGTTTAAATAAAAAATACCTTTGATATTTTTAGATGCAGCCAATAAATAATGTAAGCATATACTGTGATAATCTTGGGGGAAATAAACGAGGATACTTGTGGACTAGGATTTTAAATCGATTTTAAAACAAGTACAACAAAAACAGCAAATAAACTAAAAGTTAATTTGAAATTAAACTGAGCCAAAATTCTTGATAATTTTAATGATAAACCGCAAAAGATGAGAATTTTTTAGCAGATTCATCATGTTGACAGATACTTTAAAAAAAAAACAGAGTTTAGTGAGTCGCTCAGTCAGAAACGACCTCTGGATCAGTCACATGACGTGTGCCGATACAGTGATGCTCTATGGGCTCCATGCACGGACCGACGTTTTAGTGTTCATGTACTCATCGCTGTTATTAATCCTTTATTTTTTATAAACAAGGATGGATTTTTTAAAAACTGTTTGGCTACCTTAGGTTAACTTTGGGGATTATTTGATTAAATATTAAACCAAAAACCAGCAGCTTAATGTTGAATATTACATTTTATATATCTGCAAGGTAGAATTCTATAGTGTGCTTATTGTCATATCTACCATAATATAACATTAGTAATCGTAATGTTATATTATGAAAGACATGACAAAATAAATAATTTCAAAACCAAAATCATATTTAAACAATTTAATAAAACTCCCACAGCATAATCAAATGATCACTGGTGAGGTGTAAGAACACAACATGATTTAATTATAACCCAATGACCAGCTTGTCCTTACAAAACATAAATATTAACAGTTTCTTGTAAAATTCTCTGTATATATTTACATGTATACATAAAATGACGTGATAGAGTTTAAAAACAGATAACATTGCATTGTTTTTGCCAGTAATGTGCGTATTACAGCCGTCCAGGCCAAGCTTCAGACTACTGGGTTAGAAACATCTCAGGATGTTCTGTCTGCTTCTTTTTACTAAGCTAAACAGTAGATGTGTGTTCAAGATCAACGCTTACCAAGCTAGAAAAAAAACAAACAGTTGAACACAGATCCTCTCTTCACCATATAAAGCTAAATAAAACAGCAGAACATGATAGAAAACAAAACATATTTTGGCTTCTGTAAAATTTCCCTCCCTTTACCAGAAAACAAAACACAGACGCACCGACAATCTGTTAAGTAAAGCCAGCAAAAATCCTTCACCTCTACAGAAGACGATTAATAAAATAAACACATAAAAACTTTAGCTGCGATGAAGACGTCTCACCAATAAAAACAGCATAAAGGCGGCTCTTTGTTCATCAGTGACTGAACCTGTACAGAGAGAATTGAGTCAACATGAAATCCAGATGTCTGTCACCACTGGAGGGGGAGGGGGGGCTTTACAACCGCTCCCTTATGCAGAGGTTTAGACCTCTGGCCAATGCAGATCTCCAGAGGCCCCCTGCATGACAGACTTAGCCTGCTGCACCATCAAGGGACATTTTTGGAGTCACCACAGATATTTGGCAATCAAAAAAAAAAAAAAAAACCCCACAAGAAAACTATCCTCAATCTAACTTCTATATCAGTGCAACCACTAGATTCTTCACAGGAACGCCACTCAGCTGAACTGGTGACGTTCAAAGCAACGTGTGATGGAGTCCAGCAGATCGGTCAGACTCCATAACAAATAGAACCTGGATATAAAGGTGCGGAGAGGCTCCCTGCACACCTGAGTGTTTGTCATTCTGCAACCAGCCAGGAGATGGAAAGACAGATAAAGTGCAGTCTTCAGCTCTAAATTGTGAAAAGGAAAAAAAAACAAAGCCAGACAAACCTGCAAAACTACAACAGAAGGAACTCCATCCTAAACAGGGAGAGCATGAGTAGGAAAACTCCTTCACTAAAGGTCCAGGTGCTTCTATCAGAATGGAGAAATCCTGATCCAAATGCTCCCTCATTGTCCCACATAGAAAACAAATCATCAAAAAAACAACATTAAATTAATTTCAGGACACCATATTAACCGCAAAGGTAAAACAGGAGCAACATCAGAGCAGCTGTCAGCCCAACTAGGTGAAAGGTTGCAGTCTCCGTAAAAAGGCAAGACGAGAGGCGTGTCTGACAGAATGAGTCGCCTTCCTTTTGTTATCCGATAAAACCAAGGAAAAATTTAACTCTCCTGACTTTTCACCTCATATTTAAAAATATATCCGCTGCTGTTGAGGTGGAACCGTGCAGTTGTGCCGGAGTAGAGGTCAGATTCCAGCCTGTGTGTGTGTGTGAGGTTTATAGCTTCACCAGGTTCTCGGCCATGTAGGACAGGCTGTAGAAGTTGCAGCCTATGCAGCAGAGGTTACAGAGGGACGACAGCAGGCGGTACAGCCACAGGCGCCTGCTCAGGTGTTTGTATTTCACGTCCGACTCGCACAGCTTGGCGTAAGCCTCGCGGTTGGACGACAGCCCGATATCTTGACCCAGCCCGCATGCCTGCTCGATAAGATGCATGTCTGCCATGATCTCTGACGTCATTTGGCCGAACCACTGAGCGTTGATAGCCGCCACCGTCACCGACACGAAGAAGATGAAGATCTGAGAGAAATAAAATCAGATTCAAGAGGAAAGGCTCATTTTAATAAACAACAAACTTTAATGCAGCCATTGCTAACTTTGTATGCTAACCACACTATAAATCACATTACCTTTATGCAGGGCCGGTTCTAGCCCTTTGGTTGCCCTAGGCGAGATTGAGTTTTGCATCATGTTTTTAGTGATTAGGAAAGTATTTAACAAATAAATAATTGTATTTTAAATTAAATGTAATTTTGAATAAATGTTGGCATCAGTAGTTTAATTATATATAGAGCAATATACAACTGTATTACTCATGTTTCTCGCCAAAAACAAAATTTCCCGTTTTCTTTACGTTACACTTGAACGCATCATGATAACCTAATTGTCGTTTTACGGAGCCAATCTGAACACATCATCACGCAGCACGTCTGAAACTTTATTTACTTTTCAAGCTAAGTAGCTTGTATGCTGCCGATTGCAACACGGATTTCACAATTAATATTTTTAACTGACCGGACAAGCTACAAAGTCTGTGTGCGCTTACCAGTGGTACTCTGAGTGGATGATTAAGACGGGCCGACTGCGGCGGCAGGAGGAGGAGTCTTTTCCGTTCAGCCATCCTCGAGTCACGAGCAGAGTTAACTGCCAGACTTCACTTGTTTTACTTTTAATATCTGTTTGCTTACAATTTCATTCCAAAATATTGGTGTACATGCTGCAGTGATTGACGTCATGACTTCCGGGTTGGAGGGCGCTTGAAAAGTGATCAGAATCTTTTCCGATTTTCTCTTCAATGTGAAAAAATCAATAAAAAAACGGTGGTATATTTATTTGTTCATATTTTGCTATTTATATATACGTAAGGTTAAGTCAAACTGACGGACGCTTCATAACCGGTTTAATTAGCTTTTTTTTCTAATTCTATGATTAATGGGAAGTAAGCCTAAGGGCGACGCTAGAGGGCGCCCCCAACACATTTGTCGCCCTAGGCAATTGCCTAGCTCGCCTATAGCAATCGCCGGCCCTGCCTTTATGGAATAGAGACAAAAATTAAGCAAACAAATTTAATTTACCAGGTTTTAACAGGTCAAAAAACACAAAAAGCTTTAGAATAAAAACAAGAATTAAAAAACATTAATATATTTCTAAAATCCTGGAGCATTAAACTGATTTAAAGTCTGGTCTGGTCTTAAAATGATTTGCATGGAGGTAAATAGAAACTGCATGAGGTACACCTTCCAGTAAAACATCAACATATAGATCTAAATCAGTTAGAAAAGGACAGAATTTGGATTTGATGTTTACAGATAACAATTATTTTATAAAGCTATTTTGCAAAATATATAACAGCAGGGTTTATACAGAGAATGAGTAACTCTAATTCAGTTAGAAATTTTAATTTTAATCCCACTAACAAGTACCCATGACTCTTACTATATATATATATATATATATATATATATATATATATATATATATATATATATATATATATAACATTTTCTCGTTCTCTAGCTTTTTCTCCGCCTTGAGCTTCTTTTCCGAACATTCAGCTTTACGATCAACCGGAAGCAGTTCCGGGCAATATATATATATTATATATGCAATATATATTGCAATATAAAATATTGTACGCAACTGTTTTTATGATCATATGTTTTTTAATAAAGCATTTTAAATGCCATGATAATCACATGTTAGAATAATTGTATATAAATGTATCTGTGTAGTGTTATAATGCATAAAGCTGTGTGCTATGTGCATGTGTTCGTAGCCATCTTTTCTGAAGTATACTGTGATTTGTAGATTTGCTTTTGGGGAGGTTGTGGTTGATTTACGAGCAGCGCTTGACCTGATGAACTTTGGTGAACTTTGGTGAACAGCTTCAACTTTGACTGAACCCTGAGATTTAGAGGATGTTTTTTGAGACTGCAAGTCTGAGTTCCTTGTCTTGTTCCCCCCCCTCCGCCACGTCTCAGCTGGGACCACTGATTCCAATAAACAGCGAGGAGAACGCTGGGACCGCAGAGTGGGTTGGAGACTTGTAAACTCTGCAGTCTCTTCCTACTCTCCTCGCGAGTAAAACTAAATTAATTGTCTCTGTGTCTTCTTTCTTTCCCTGCATGTATGTATGATGTTATAGGTGCTTAGACCTGACATCACATTTAATGAATTTTAATACTAATTACGGTCTTAATTTAAAAAATAATCTAATGACGAATGATTTTTAATGACCCGCTGAAACCCTGAATAAAAGAAAACATTAATTTAAAGGGAGAGCTGCACCAAGGCAGCATATCTGTAAAAACAATGACAAACCTCCTGCACCAATGGCTACAAACGCACGCCACAATCTTCACACATATTTTTTCCCTTTTCTCTGAGATTCCCTGTAATTTGTATCAGTCTGTCCCATAAAATGAATTTGAAATAAATCAAAGTTTGTGGTTTTGATGTGAAAGCGACCAACCTGGAAGGATTCCCTGTCATCCATGATGTCTCTGGGATGATACACAGCATAGATGGTGAGGTTGAAGAAGGCGCAGGCTGAACCCAGGTGGAGGTAGAAAGGAACAAGGCGACTCTGGATAAACCCAAACGTGTGTCGGTTCAGGTTGTGGTCCATTATAAAACCTGGGAACACATCACAGCACTTTATAAGGAAACTAACTTTAGCGCCAGTCATTTAGCAACTTAAAGCAAAAGCTAAGGTCTATTTCCAGTGGTCAGACATTTACATTTAGTAGCATAATCCACAGAAAATGTTTTAAATGCCCCGGACCACTAATACTGTGGTACTAAATGAGCTAGTCCATTGTGCCTTTATTAATTTTAGACCCATTTTATATTTGCTGGAAGCTCTTTTTCATGTTGACACCTGAGGGGCTGCAGCAGCTGAACTATGTTCTTCTCACATACTTGTGGATCACACAGTGCTGACAGAGTCATGAGGTGGAAAGTCCCAAGACTTTTTCCTAAACTCTCTTTTGGCTCCAAAAATGAGAACCAGTGGCATTCTAACCTCAGCATTCCCAGCTAAGCTTTCACTTTATGAACTCCTGCTGAGGAACTAGCTAGCATCTTAACTCTAAACATTATCAGTTATATTATGATTGAATGTTTTCCACACAAATCTTAACTGAACCTCATTTACTTTCCAAACTTTAAATATCTTAAATGCCGGGAGCTTCTCAGCATCACAGTAAGGACCCATCAATTTAAATCAAACAATATTCTACAAATCTTATCTGAAAACGTCCTTACGGTGCGTTAACATCAGATCTATAGGTCTGGTACTATAATGGAATAAACATTTCAATATGTGAAATAAAGAGGTTATTGCCTCAGCATTCAGGTAGAGCTGCAACTAATGATTATTTTGCAAATCGATTAACCGGTAGGATATTTTTTCAATTAATTGATTAATAATCTGATAGCAAAAGATTCCTTAAAGAGGATTTTTTATTAAATTTAGCCAGGTGAAACTAAAACTGTTCCACAGGATGAGTTCTGGATAGAGCAGATTAACAGACGAAATTTTTTTTTTTTAAATCTTAAATGCAAAATGTTTACATATATTTTACAATTTTGGTATAATTCCTGCTGTAAGTGGGTCACTCTGCCAGCTACAGGCCTGTTTTAGAGCCTCCATACTCCACTTAATGATTAATTGATTACTAAATTAGTTGAAGATTATTTCAGTAATCAATTAATCCTATTGATAGTTTCAGCACTACTTTCATGGATATAAGTTAACTGTTCTAATGTAGAATCTTAAGGCCGACCGGCCCGGTACAGGGCCCAACTCACACCTGCTCATGTTTATCTATTTATAGTAATGGCCAAAACACAGTCACATGGTGTTTCATCCACACACCTTTAAAATGGGGCTATAACATTTCTGAAACATATTTCAGAATTATTTTCCACAAATACTTTTGTCGATGTGCACGCGTTACATAAACTGCTCTGTTATTTTTATTTTCTATTCAGTTTGGTGATTTTATTGGTAAATTTCAATGAACCAACGGCTAAATCTTAGGAGGAAAGTTTTTGTCTCATGCTGAAGGTCTCCAATAATGGAAATCAGCATATTTGTCTGACTAGATTCACTTTTAGAAGTGGAAAAAACGCATTTATGCATAATTTGGCCACTTTTGCCACTGTGCCAAAATCCCATTTCCTCCTAGCTCACTGCCCACTAAAACCTTTATGGAACAAACATGCTTCAACTGATTCAGTCCAAATTAGCTTGAGTTATATTCAAGATGTGGATCTATAAAGTCTGAGGGTTTAACCAGAGTTTCTAATGGGCTTTCATGGCGTTTTTATTTTGGCTAGGATAAAATTTTTCATTTTTTCTTTATTTAATCACCAATAAATCAGACATGGTGACATTTAAAATAGTGGTTCCACCTGAAAAAATATTCCTCAATGCCTTTCTGTCACACAAATACAAACAATTGTATTTCCAATTTATAGTTTAGGAGCTTTAGTTCACATATGTACGAATTTGCTCCTAAGACCCTCTGGGCTTAAGGGGTCAACAAGCAATAGAAAATAAATATATATACATATATAGACACTGGTCTTTAGAAAGTCAACTAAAGGTAATTTTGGGAACGAGTTAGAAGGTTTTGAAATGCATACAGGTTGTAAAACAATGGGGAAAAAACTTCATATCAGAGCTTTTTCTGTGATCCTAAGAAGAAAGTTAAATCCACCCCCTGTGTGTGGAAGACCTACTTGAAATAAAAGTCACCCATATCTGCATCCCCCAGTAGGTGGAGAGGAGCAGCAGCTGCAGCAGCTTCACAGTGTAGGTTGGTTCCTGGTCAGTGGGCATCTTCTCCAGACCTTCTCTCCTCTCTGCTCTGTTTACAGAAACAAAAAACAGCCTCCAGATAAACAGATAACGCCTCCTCCCCCCTTCAGATCCTTTTGTCTCCAGGGAACCGATACTTTATTTCTCCCTCTAACGTGAGAAATAAAACCAGATTACAGATTATTATCTGCCCACCTTTAGGTGAGCAGGAAGAAATGCCAGGAATTCCTCCAGGCAGCTTATCTAGCTCCCTGAAGCTACTCAGGTATTTCTGTCCATGATGTTAGTGCATTACTCAGCAACAGGTTGGGAAACTTCTGCTGTTGTCAAGGTAACGGGCTAGCAGGAATGACCTCACCCAGTGCACACGACCCAAAAAGCTAGCCAGAAGGAAAAATACAAGTTTCAGTCATTTAAAGTCTGAATATATATTATTATGCATCTTTTTCTTTTAAAACAATTAAACTCAAACAGCTCTCGCTGCTTTAACGCATGGCGCGCGGTGACCATGGAGCTAATGATAGTAAAGAAGCTAGCTGTTCAGTACAACAATAAACTCCGCTAAAGTTAAACTAATATTAAGCCAATTTATCTAACTTTGTCATATCGACTGGAAAAGTTAAAAGGTTAAAAATAGTTAATTTCGCCTTTCTTAAAAGTTTAGCTCGGTTTACCTGAGTGACAGAAGGTAGCAGAGCTGAAGCAGTGACTGCGGTCTGATCCAAGCGGACAGAGCTGTTCCCTCTGGGCGGGCGGGGCTTCTGCTTCTTCTTCTACGGTTTTATGGCGGTTGGCAAACTGGTTAAAGGACATTACCGCCACCAATTGATAAGGAGTTCAACAAGGAAACAAGACTCACCCCAGAAAACAAAAAATAAGGAATCATATTTCTTTCCGATCTGTTTAACTGATTCCAACATAATAAATTCACATTCGTCCTCATCATTTCTAATTAATCTTAAACTTATCGTCACTCGGCCAGTTTCTGATGGTCTTACTGGTTTTCCCATCAGGCTTTCAACCGTTTCCCAGTTTAAATCTCCTACTTCTCTGCAGCTTTCACCATTATTTAGATTTTTCCCCCCCTTGTGGTCTCAGCACTACATTTGATCACTTCTACCATGAAATCTTTCTTTTTCACAATCAATGAATCTTCTTCAATGTTGGGGAGCTGCTCCACAGGTTTTAACTCTGTTAGTTTGGGTTTTTCTGACTGGGATGGGATCCTTTCTGCAGCTGAGGGCGGAGCTTCTTCTTCTTTAATGTTTTTATTTTTTTTTATATACTCTAATAATCCCAGAGGGGAATTACTTCTCTGCATTTAACCCATCCCCTTGGGGAGCAGTGAGCTGCCATTGTGAGGCGCCCGGGGAGCAGTGTGAGGTTAAGGGTCTTGCTCAGGGACCCAGAATGGCAGTCTCACTAGGCCGCCACTCCCCCTATGCCCGATGAAAACCAACTTAAAGGTGCATTTCCCGCCACCTACCAGACTGGAGTGTGGCCATCAATGACGTCAGAGGAAAGATAATAATACATACCTCTAAACCAGGAGACATTTTGAATTATAATCTGTTACTTTAAACAGAATTTAACTCTGAAATAAAACGAGGTTCTTAATAAATCCATGTTATACATTGATTTTTTTAAATGAGAAAATGTAAAAAAGAAAAGAAAATTTTTTTACATTTTAAAATCTAAATTGTTTTTTGAAGTAGAGAACAACAATAGTTCAGTTTAGATTATAGACAATTTCCTGACTCACATTTTTTTTATTTTAGTTTTGACCATTTTTTATTTTTCTTTCTTTTTTCTGAGAGCAGTGGGCTTTAGGCTGCAACCACTAATCCATGACCTCTGGTCTATGCTATCCACAAATCTACAAATTTATATCTATACAAACTCACATATAAATTAGTATGTTTGCAAATGCACATGCATACACACAGTTATATACTTTAAATGCAATTAAATAATCCAGCGTTTAAAAAAAATCTAATTAATTAATTTCTAACAGAATTTAATTTACTTCCTAAAAGATTTATCATAGAAAATCCTATTTTCTCTATTTGTAGTATTGACTTTAAATGCTGATGTTCCTCTAAATATTTATTACATTCTAATAATACATGTTCCACTGTTTCCATCTGATTACAGGGATTATAATCCCTATTTCATGTTTCCCTATTCTGATAAGAGAACCATTAAATCCATTATGACCAAATCTGTGGAGGTATGACTGCCTCTTCTTTCCTTCTTCCATTCATACAACTATTACCCCCACAGTCTGTTGAATTTCATATAGATCTCTACCAACGTCATGAATATACCAATGTTCCTGCCAATCCTTATAGATTTTAGATTTATCCTCACTTTTACTTAAAGGAATACTTAAGTAAATAATATATTAATTTTAAGGCCTGTTTAGCTAATATATCTACATCTTCATTTCCTTCTCTGCCTACATGGGCAGGAATCCAGACAAAACATTTCTTATTATCAAGCTGAACTAATAGGTGATATATATCTAATAATAAATATAATCTACGAGACTTGTCAGATTTATACTTAATAATGCAGCTTGACTATCTGATGCAACTATTTCCTTCCCTAACATTATCACCAAGCAACCATTCTAAAGCGACCATAATGGGAATTGATTCAGCTGTAAAAACTGTTAGGGCAGGGCTTCTTCTTTCTCTTCCAAAGGTTTTAGCAGTCATGTTATCATTATGCCCCCCCCCCATCGCTGCACAGCCCCACCACTGCCTCTATGCTGCAAAGACCAGACATCATTTTCCAGTCAGAAAAGTTTCACAAATGGATTTAGGTCTGGATTTTTCAAAGGGGCCACATGGTATGATTCTGGTTTCATTCGATTCCTTTTTATTGTAGCCCTCTAATTGTCCTGCTTGAAGAAGAGTTTCATTTTTAACTCCAGTCTAAAGTCTGAACCCCTCAACAGGTATCCTTCTAGAAATGATTTTCCCATCAGCCCAAATCTTTTTAGGTTGCGCATCGAATTAAAATGATCCCCACAGAATGATACATCCATCATTACTTTTAACTTAGAAATTGAGCAGTTAATATTGGTATTTGTAATATATATACATATTTGGGGGCTGCTCAGTGGGGCTGTGGGTAGCTCTGCTACCGTGGGTTTGATTCCCGGCCCGGGGTCTTTCTGCAGAGTCTGCATGTTCTCCCTGAGCATGCGTGGGTTCTCTCCGGGTACTCTGGCTTCCTCTCACAGTCCAAAAACATGACTGTTAGGTTCATTGGCTTCTCTAAATCCTCCTTAGGTGTGAATGGTTTTATGTCCCGTTTGTCTCTGTGTTTTCCTGTGATGGACTGGCGACCTGTCCAGGGTGGACCCGCCTCTCGCCCACTGACAGCTGGAGATCGGCACCAGCACCCCTCACCAACCCAGCAGGGATAAACATGACGGAAAAAATTGATACTTTTTTGTTCAACCATAGCAATTTTTTTTTTTTTTTTACACCTGGGAGCAGCTAATTAGCATTTCTAAAGCTGAATTAATTAGGGGTGTGGGAAATAATCATTTTTGCGATATATCGTGATATTCGGCTGCCCAATATAATATCGATCTTTCACTTCTTAGTATCGATAAAAAAAAAATGGTTACATAAAACATTGATGGGAAAATGGGCTACCTCTGCACCACCACTCTGGCAGAAAGCGCTGTGGAGCCCTTTAACTGTGCGTGCAGCACCAAATCTGTATTTGAGGCAGTCACAGTGGAAGAAAACCCAAACAACATGGATAATAATACCTAATCAATATTTTCTGATGAAAATATACAGCACTTGCTGTTTTATCTCATCATTTGATTTTGATAGCTGGGGAAAATATGGCAATATATAGTGATACTGCAATATCGTGATAATATTGTATCGCAACATGTATCGAATCGCAACACTCATGGCAATACTCACCTCTAGAATTAATAAATCAACTTCTTCCACGAGTACCAGTTGAATTGTCAAGGAGGCGTCAGGGATGCAGAGCAGGAGAGACGAGAGAGGAACAAGAAATTTAAACCTTCTCTTCCATCAATCCTAATTAATGATATTTTTTTTTCTTTGAGTTTTTACGGCTCTAGTGACTCGTTTTTTTCAACAGTAGGCTGACATGAAAGGGGTATGAGAGAGGGGGAGAGAGGGATTCAACCCAGGTCAGCCACGTCGAGGACAAAGGCCTCCGTCAGGGGTCATGCACGCTAACCACTGCACCACCTGCACGCCTACAATGATGAATGATGACGGCGGCTCGCTAGCTCAAGTGGTAAGTCACCCGTCCTGAAAACAGGAAGCCTGGGTCCTGTTGGCAGGATGGGTCCTTAGGCAAGACCCTTCAGGCCTGCTTTGGGGAGTGGTTAGGGCATAGAGTGGGTCTATGTACAAAAAAATAAATTTAAAGTCAGATCGTCATACACTTAAAAAAAACACACCAAAAAGTAAGTAATTAAACTGTTTTTTTACCAGACTAATGGGATACACGCCCGTTTAGGTAGTTTGAAGTCTATGTTTCGTACAAAACTGAAGGGATAAACTAAAGAGATAAATGGGTATTGACTATGCGTATGCTGGTCTGACTGGGTATGCTCATCTGACAGAACACCAGCTTCCTCCCACAGCCCAAAAACCAGCATGATGGGCTGGAAAGCTGTCCAGGCCGTACGCTACCTCTCTCCAAAGAGCCGCTGGATACAGGCTGCAACCCATCCAACAATGCAATAAAGAAGAACATGTCATCAGAGGATGAGAATTAACTTTATTAAAAAATATATATTCTTAATTAGTTTTATTTGGACATGAAAATAGCAGTTGTGTTTTACTTTTCATTTTAACTGATTGCAAAAGTATTTCAACAGTGCATTCTAGGAATGCTTATAATATACAGGAATGTTAAGATGCTCATCAAAAACAGTGGCGATGTTGAGCAGGAGGCTCAGTGTAAACAAGACTAGTTCAGCAATGAACAGCGCAGCCACATCCTCATGCATGAGAGTTTTCCTTTGCTAGAAACGCCCATTTACTCCATGCTGGTTTAGTGGCGCCCGACGCCGTGGTCTAACTGGGATAAAGGACGTGAGATGGCGGAGCGGAGAGGACTTTAGTGACGGGCAGATTTACAGATTTTATCATAAACCTCAGGAAAAGCTTCCTTACAGCCCAGCTCAGCTCGTAGTTTGTGGTACAGCTGTCCATCAAACATCTCCCAAAACTCCTCCCGATCCATGTACACATCTGCATACAGCATCTGGAACCTGCAGAGGAGCATTTCAACACGTTGCAGATTAAATGCTGGATGGATTATTTATTTCACTTTAGTTTCTGATGGGAGTCTTACCCGTGTACGTCTCTGACAAACTTCTCCAGCTGACGCGTTGATGCTCTGGCCTCAAAGTGTTTGACCTTTGGCTCCCCGTAGGCTCCGATGTCCACGTACAGCTCCTCCTGTTGGCCCTTAGGGTGAACCATTCCCCTGCCTGCCGGTAACAGGAACGGGCACAGCCACAGAGGGTAAACCTGCAAAAAATGGAAAAAGGAGGAGTTATTCAAGCGAGATGCATCCATCATAAACAGAGTGCAATGTGACGCTTTAATCAATATGGGAGTCTGACATTGATTTGCTGGTGAAAGCGTGTGATGGCAGCCTGCAGATGCTTCATGGGAACCAGCATGTCCTGGACCACGTGGTGCTGCTCATACAGACGTCTGATGGTTTCTCCCTGGGTGAGTTTCAGCAGCGAGATCTTAGGAGGAACCATCCATCCGAAAAGCCAGCGGAACGCAGGATTGTTGCCAAATGGGATAATATCCTGGAAAAAGGCACAGACTGCGTCATCCGATAGCCTAAGCTTTTAACCCTTTATAGGACAAGTTAACATTTTTGATCACTTGCAAACCCCTTACAAATGGAGCCCCCCCCGAACCCTCAGTGAGGTCTAGAAGCACTAGATCTATATCCAGCCATTCAGCAAAGATCCTACTACATTTTACCAATTAGATGAGCCCTTGAATGATATATTAGCTACTGAAAATTAAGTTGGAAAAACTTAACAAGTCAAGGAAAAAAGCTAAAAAGCTAATTGAATAATAATAAGCCTAGTTAACAATTATATTTAGGTTTATAAACTAAAAAATGTGCCAGTATCAGCATTAATGCCTCTAAGGTTATGTTGGACAAAAAAAATGTGTTTTCTTTCACTCTCAGAGTGTTTTTCATGAATTTCAGGCAATATGTATATATTTTTCTTAATATTTTCTTAATATATTTAGTAAAGTTGAGGTTTCTTGATATTACATTGACATAAATTTTTGCCAACAGAATATCTATATTATATATATATATATAAATAAGGTCTGGTCCTGGATTCCAATAACTCTATTGGCTGGAAATGTGGATTTCCAAAGTATTTCACTGATTGCCCTATAAAGGGTTAAAAGGTTTGGTTTTTAGCTGCTGCTTTGCTCTGATATGGTCAGAAGTTTATATTCAACCACTGTTATCATGAATATTGTGAATATTTGGCTTTAAATGGGAGATCGTTTTTGGGTTCTTTGTTTTTCAGGTTGGAATAAATCTAAAATCAACTTTACTGATTTTTTTATATCACAAATCAAGTAACTGTTTTATTTATTGCGACTTTCTTTTATGCACTAACGTTATTTTTAAATGTCCTTCAGCAGGTAGCAGCTCAACCAAACGGGTTTATTGATCATAAATAAGATTCTGGGGCGTTCTGGTTGGATATTTCATCTCTACCCAGCAGAAATAGTTCATTTAAAGCTATAGGGGAGGATGTTCTTGTGATGTTTACGTAAAGCCGTCCTACGTGCTCGTCCCCATTTTCACTGACCGCTGGTGAGTCTGACATAATGGAAAATGTGCAAATCTTCCTTTGGAAAGAAAGCTAGTATGAGCGATGCAAACAGCAACTATAAAACAGAGCGTGCATGAGGAGAAATGGGCTCGTGCACTCACAGTTTAATAGGTGTTCCCTCTCAGGAGCAGGTACACACTGGAAAAATGATGTAGAAATGAGTAAAAATCTCTTAAATTAAGTGTATTTACCCTTAATTTGAGATAGTTTGCAAATGGAATACGTATTTTTACTCTTAAAATAGGATTATTAGATAATATGCGCTTAATTTAAGTTTAAATTGTCTTGTTCCTTTGGCAAAGTATCTTTTACTTCCTCAATCCAAGAACAAATGCAGGTATTTTACCAAAAAATGACTTATCGAGATTTGGATTTTTTCCAGTGCAGGGTTGTGCATGTGCATTTTTTTTAAAGTGGAGAGGGCGGGTCTTTTAAAAAATCCTCCACTACACCGTTAAGATGGCTAGTTTTCATCGAGACATTTTCTGTAAAAACAAACCAATGAACAATTTATCATCGTCATCAGAACAGATGATCCCACAGGTTTGGATCCAGACACGCCTTCTAGTTTCAGGGCTGTCACTCCTTAAATCCAGCTTATGTTTACTTGTGTGTGTAATTAAAGTCACACTGATAAGGTAATTTTTTGTTAAGGGGGTTTTATTTTGCTTGTGCTTATTCAAGATTTTACGGATTTTCAGGGAACAGCCAATAAATTTACCCAAACTAAAGACAAAGAAAGAACTTGATTGATATTTATAGTTTGTGCCTTTGGTAAAGATTCACAGGTCTTCTGGTTCATGTTTTCTCATTGAATGATCGCCTTTTACAGTTGCCTTTTGTATCTATGCTTCTTTTTCTATGTCTGCTTCTGTCTCCTTGAACCCCAGTGGGCCTCAGCAGATGGCCGCTCACACTGAGCCTGGTTCTGCTGGAGGTTTCTTCCTGTTCAAAGGGAATTTTTCCTCTCCACTGTCGCTACAAGCATGCTTAGTGTGAGGGATTGCTGAAGAGTCAATGAGTCGATGCAATCAGCTGGTTTTCCTTAGATAGAAAACTTTGAATCAATCTGACTGGATGATCTGGTTGAACTGGAAAGTGACCTGAGATGACATGATGTGAATTGGAGCTATAGAAATAAACTGAATAGAATTGAAAGGTAAAACATCTCAATAGGTCCACAATCTCAAATTGAGCAGAAACATTTCATGAACTTGCAATTTACTTTTTTTTATTTTTTCCGGTCGCCTTCAGGATGAGGCCCAACGGCTTTTGGAAAAAAAATCAGTTTACTTATTTATCCACATTCTTAAAAAAAAATCTTCCTTCCAATTGTTTTGCATAGTTCAAAAATTCAAAGATTTTAAGTTTATAAAAATATATTCTACATGCTGTTTCCATATTTTTGCTTTTTCTCTGTTGTGAAAAAATTACATAATTCAAAATAAGTTTAAATATTTCTTTCATATTAAAATATTTCAACTAATTGTAATACTTTTTTTATTATTATGTCTTAGTTTAAAGAATATCCTCTAAAAGTGCTGATTTCAACGTCACTCCTGTCAGACACAATCTGCTTTAGTTTCTCTAATCTTCCACCAGAGGGCAGCGTTAAAATAAAAACAACACTTTTTGTCTCTGGCCTCCAAATTAAACACCCTGATCATATCCATCATGAGTCGTTCTATTTCTGTCTGCCTTCCACTCAAAGCGAACATAGAAAAAGTCTTTTTGTAGAAAACGAAGCAGCCGAATGCTTAGAAGACACTAAACTTAGGCATCTGTTAAACTAGAACCATGCATAATTCATCAGGCCATTTGCTGTGAGAGAGAGAAAACACCACAGTCAGGGTTTTCTCACTAATGGCTAATGGTGTGTGCTCATGGTTTGCTCAAGGTGGAGCTTTAGAACTTAAGGGGAAATAAGCAGACATGTTGAAATAATCTCAGCTCCTGGAAACAGTGAGATGAAGATGTTAGGATTAGTTTTTATTATTCATGTATGCGTTTGCTAAACCCTAATACTTTTCAGATTTCAGGTAATAAAGTAAAAAATCTTGGTGTTGTTTTTGATCAGGACCTGTCATTTAAATCCCAGATCAAAGAGGTTTCTAGAATTTCCAAAAATATTGCAAAAACTAGAAATCTCCTGTCCAGGATTGATGCTGAGAAACTAGTCCATGCATTTGTTACTTCAAGGCTGGACTATTGTAATTCTTTACTATCAGGAAGTCCACAAACTGTAGTTAAAAGCCTTCAGCTGATCCAAAATGCTGCAGCCAGAGTTCTGATGGAAATGAAAAAGAGAGATCATATCTCTCCTATCCTGGCTTCTCTTCATTGGCTTCCTGTTCAATCCAGAACTTTTCCTTAGATAGAAAACTTTGAATCAATCTGACTGGATGATCTGGTGAACTGGAAAGTGACCTGAGATGACATGATGTGAATTGGCGCCATAGAAATAAACTGAATTGAACTGAATACCTGCCTGGTTTTTGTTTTTAATCAAATTAGGATAAGATTTGTAAATGCAATGGGAGCATAAATGGATAATTCTTAAAAGAGAGCTTTGTCACCATGCATGTGGATTTTCCTTGATCCAGACCGCTGCGTTATCTCGATGCGGCTGGAGCCTCATTTAAAAACAACCTGTGTATGATTGGATGATGATGTGGCAGAGTGTGACCCTGGAGACGTATGAAACGCGTTTTTATCTATTATTCAGGGCAGATTTCCAGACAAAGCAAACCACTATGATATAACCGTCGTAACACTAACCATTTCTCTGCCTGATCAATTCTTTTAAACTCGCCATCGTGTCTCATAATCTTTTCATACATTTACATCATAAAGTGTTTGTTTCGAGTAATTTCTTCTCAGGAAAGATTCAGGGAGAAAAACACTGCAAAAAAAAAAAAATGTAATTTTTTCTTGAACTGAGGAGGAAACAGACATTTTGCCAAATTGAACAATACAATTTACATTTAAAATAAGAAAAAATGCATCGTCTTATTTCAAATGCATATTGTGTATTTATCTTATTTTAAGAGTAAAAATACTCATTCCATTGACAGATCATCTTATTTACCTGCTCAAATTAAGGCGAAATACACTTAAATTAAGAAAAGTTTACTCTTTTCTAGATTGTTTCTGCAGTGAAGCATGAAGCTGTAAATACAAACAGCTTTCCTCTACAGAGTGGATCTGGTGTCTCAGAGGAAAATCAAGGTTTTTAATCAGCTTTTGATTAATAAAGACTTTATTATTATTATTTTTATGCAGCCTTTAGGGGCTGATCTTTGAATTCATTTGAATGTTTCATGGTGAAACTCAGAAAAACAGTCAAACTAAGAGACAATATCTGAACCCTGATAATTTAAATCAGTTTTTTATTTTTTATTAGAGCAGGATTTTAAAGTGAAACTGGTATCTTCATTCAGTATAAATCAGGGTTCAGAGATGCCAGACGATGAACGCTGGTTTCATCTCCAAATCAGCGGCGAGCTGCTGGGTTTTCAGACGTTTGAGAATAACTCAGAACGCATGAAAATTCCACCGGTAAAATGTTTACCAATATAGACATGTTAGATATCGTTGGAAAGCTTAGATTCTCCACAATTCAACCACAGAGATCATTTTATGGACACAGTGAGCACCAAAGCACAATTAACACAGATACAGCAGCATGTCAAAATGTAAACAAACAAAGCAGCCACAGCTACATCCCTTAGAAGGCGTCCAGAAGCTGTTTTATAAACCAATATTCAATTGTTTATACTCCATTCATCCATAAGGCTCCACAGATTAAAAGTAATCCAGCATTTTCATAATAAAAATATTCCGTGATGAGAAAATCGGCCATAACGTCCGGTTGTTGACATCAGAAAGGTTAGCTGGTCACAGCTTATTCTCAGCATCTTGCTAATATTTACTTC